GTATCTTGAAGGTTAGAAGACTATAAGAGCTAGAGTCTAGAAGCTGAGAAGCTGAGACTTGTAGACTCTAGCTTTTAAATTGATACACTGATCGTTTTGATAGAGGTAGTTTGGTGGATTGATACTTTGATTGATAGATAGGACGTTGATTCCCGCGAACCAGCACTGCGTTCGGACTGTGTGCTCCGTGCAGGAGGGGTGTCGCCTGCGTGCACGCAAGCGCTCCCTTCGTGTGACGCTGCAGTATCTCGCACGAGGAGCAATCTCAACCATAAAACTTCTAACCTTCAAGATACGGCCTTTCCCACGAAGCGTTTTGTTTATTGCTTCTCAGAACACATCCTTTCTCACTTTGTACTAGTATGCAGCAGCAGCACGAGGCCAACAAGGTGTGGCTCTTTGACGAGGCCGAGCTGCTGACGCACCACACGACGATCGTTCACTCGCCCGATGCGTACATGCAGGCGCCCAAGACGATCGGCGATCCAACTTACGGCGGCGACGGCGACGACGTGTATCTTGGTGGCGCAATCCGCGAAGGCGGTGCGCTCGAGCTGCACTCGAGGGAAGCGATTGGGCTCCTCGCACAGTACGCGGCCGTTGGCGTCGTCTACGGCTGCCTCCCCGCGCTCGTGTACCCCGTGTACGTCAAGTACATGAACTTTGCTGGCTACGAGGCCGCTTCGTACTCGGTGCTTATTACAATCTGCTGGTCGTTCAAGGTCTTCCTCGGCATGCTCTCGGACTGCTTTCCCATCGGCGGCTACAAGCGGCGGCCGTACATGCTCATCGGGTGGGCCGTTTGCCTCGCGTGCATGTGCCTCATGGCCTTCGTGCCCTTTCCCGACCCGTACCTTGGCAAAGGCCTCGGCCTCTCGGCGGCCGCGAGAAGAAAGGTGCGTGGCGGCGACCTCTCCAACTTGACGGCCGACCAGACGCGGCTCGTGAACGTCGATGCGGCGAGCGAAGCCAACTACTGGATCCTCCTCTCGTCGCTCGGCAGCTTTGGCTACATGCTCGCCGACGTGGCCGCCGACGCCATGGTGGTCGAGTACGCGCACCGCGAGCCAATTCATATCCGAGGTCGACTCCAATCGGCGATCTACGCGGTCCGGTACGCGTTTAGCATGCTGCCGCTCCTCGTTGTGGGCATTTGCATGAACGGACCCGAGTACGACGGCAGCTTTACGTGGTCGATCAGCCCGAACGTGATTTTTGCGCTGCTGATTGCGCCGTGCGCGCTGGCCATCTGGGCGACGCTCTTCCTCATCGTCGAGGACCGCGGCGTCAAGCCGCATGTTCGCAGCTACCTCTGGAACCTCTGGAGCCTTCTGCGACTGCGGGTCATGTGGCAGATCTGCGCGTTCCGCTTCTTGAGCAATTTCTTTTACAATTTCGACTCCACTGCGACGCCGATCATCCCGAGTCTCTGGGCCAACGTCCAGCCCTTCACCAAGTCGCTCTTTGCAGTCGCCAACGCGCTGCTGACGTCGGTGGCCATCTACATTTGCGGGCGGTACGGCCTCAACTGGAACTGGCGCATCACGATCGCGCTCGCTACGATCGGCGTTCTGACCATCGACGGCACGATCCTCATGCTAACGACGTGGAATGTTGTCCGCGAAGAGTACTTTTTTACGTCCTCCCTGCTGCCCAACAGCCTCCCAGCGGGCATTCGGTTCATTGTGTCGGGCTACTGCGCCGTCGAGATTGCCGACATTGGCAACGAAGGCGTTGTCTTTGGCCTCGTCACGACGATCGTCAACCTCGCAACGCCCTTCTCGACGGTCTGCTACAAGCTCATTAGCTCGTACTTGACGCTTTCGCCAAAGGATCTGGCCGCCGACACATACGACGTGCGCCTCCAAGTGACGTACTCGTATGCGATTGCGTATGGTTTGAAACTCGTCTCGCTCGCGTTTCTGCCACTGCTGCCACCGCAAAAGGCGGCGGTGCAAAAACTCAAGCGCACCGGCGGCTCGAGCACGGTTGCTGCCTTCGCGGTGCTTCTCGTGTTCTCTGTTGCCTTGACGTTTTCGATTGTGACCAACCTCATGGCGCTCTTCCCGCAAACGTCGTACTATCGCATCGCAGGCGGCTACGGCCACCCGCGCGTCACGAGGAACAAGACCATCTGCGGCTAGATATAGTAGCAATAATAGAGGAAACGATGATGCGCCTCTGTTTTAGCAGGCGATGCTTTCGGTTGGGGAAAGTGGCAGAGGACTGCTCGGGGTTAGATGGGGGCTAGGGTAAACGGTGCGTGGACTAATTTCTAACCGTCGTCATCTGAGTGTTAGCTCAGTAGACCCCTCGATTGACGGGGATCTATGGTTGCAAGAAGAAACGATGGCAGAAGTGGCGCTTGCAAGCCGCCCACGCTGCCTCCAGCTGCTGCATGGCTGATGATGCGATCGTCGGTGTCGAGCCTCGTCCACTCGGCGGTCCTCGCACAGCCATCCGCTGTCAACAAGCCTCGCACTGCGGCGTGGTTTCCGACCTAAGGCCGGTACATGGAGGTCGTTGCGATCGGTGCACACGTGCGGCTCCCGCGTTCGACAGTGTTTGCATGTGGGTGGTACGTAAACGTACACAACCCACGACCCGTACACTGATGAAGTGAAGGCGTTCAATATGCTGTAGGCACCAGTCGAGGCGCTCATGGGAATGACGTCTGGCGTCTGCAGCCGCCATGTACAAGCGTCGAAAGGACAGAAAGCGCAGTCGTATTCAAGTGTCGTGCGTGGTCGACTTACATGGTCGCGGCAAACACCGGGTTGTGACGCGCGATCCGAGGGCCCTCTTCTTCGTACTGGGCCTTGGTGTGGCACACGCGGTGGAACTCGGGCGTCGAGGCCACCATGGAGCCGCCAAACCAGACCGCGAAGCGCTGCATGCGATGCGAGATGACGTTGACCTCGAGCTCCTCGGCCGACTGCTTGGCATACTTGGAGTGGCGCGCGAGGTTGGCTTGCTGGCGGTCGTCGGCGAGGCGCTTGATGTCGCGCTGGAGCCGGCGGCTTCAAGTCGACTGGGTCTTGTAAGGAGAGATCCATGATTGGAAGCTAGGACCGATGGACAAGAGAAGACGATGTCGAGATAAGAACGCTTGGATTATACTTGGACGTGCGGACGGAAAGACTAGCAGCTGAAGCGACGTATTAGCCGCAGATCGTCACGTTGCCTTGGAGAATGGGCTGTCCGTTCCCGCCCGCAATACGATAGCACGAGGTGCGCGGGAAGAGCGCCATAAAGTTGGTCACGACCGAGAAGAGCAGCGCGAGAAAGAACGCGACGACGACGGCGGTGGCTGCATACGAGTTGGCACCGCCTGTGCGCTTGAGCTTTTGGACAGCAGCTTTCTGCGGTGGCAACAAGCCAAGGAAGAGCAACGACGCAAACTTGAAGCCGTACGAGATAACGAACGCGTAGGTCACTTGCCAGCGCACGTGCGTCGAGTCCCTTGCGAGGTCGTTGTTGGAGAGGTCGAGGTACGAGTCAATGAGCTTGTAGCATGCCGTCGAGAAGGGCGTTGCAAGGTTGACGATCGTCGTGACGAGGCCAAAGACAACGCCTTCGTTGCCAATGTCGGCAATCTCGACGGCGCAGTAGCCCGACACAATGAACCGAATGCCTGCCGGGAGGCTGTACGCCAATTGGGAGATGGTGAAGAAATACTCGTTCCGGATCACCCCCCACGTCGTGACAAAGATGACGGACGCATCGATGACCAAGACGCCAATCGTGGCCAGCGCGATCGAGACGCGCCAGTTCCAGTTGAGGCCGTACCGCCCGCAAATGTAGATGGCCACCGACGTGAGCAAGGCGTTGAGGACCGCTGTGATCGATTTCGTCAGCGGTTGGACGTTGGCCCAGAGACTCGGGATGATGAGCGTCACGGTCGTGTCAAACGAGTAGAAGAAATTGCTCAGAAACCGGAACGCGCAGATCTGCCACATGACCCGCAGTCGCAGGAGGTTCCAGAGACTCTGGAGGTAGCTGCGAAAGTACGGCTTGACATCGCGATCTTCGACGATGAGAAACATGCAGCACCACATGGCCATCACGCACGGCAGCGCGAGCAATGCAAAGATGAGGTTCGGGCTCATGGACCAGTTGAAGCTGCCGTCGTACTGCGGTCCGTTCATGCAAAAGCCGATCAGCAGCAGCGGGATCATGCTGCACGCGTACCGGACCGAGTAAATCGCCGACTGCAATCGACCCCGGATAGCAATCGGCTCGCGCTGGGCGTACTGAACAACCATGGCGTCGGCGGCGACGTCGGCGAGCATGTAGCCAAAGCTGCCGAGCGTCGAGAGGAGGATCCAAAAGTTGCCTTGGTTGGGCGCGTCCAAGTTGATGTGCGATTGCATCTCCTTCGACAAGACCGAAAGGTTGCCACCGCGGACGCGCGCAATGATGCGCGGGCTCAAGCCAGCGAGGGCAGTCCCAATGTACGGGTCCGGGAACGGATTGAGCGCCATGAGCACAACGCTTACGAGACACATGCTCCAGCCGAGAAGCATGTACGGCTTGCGCTTGTAGCCGCCGATGGGAAAGCAGTCGGTGAGCATGCCGAGAAACACCTTGAACGACCAGCAGAGCGTCACGAGTACTTTGTAGGATGACGCTTGGAAGCCTGAAAAGTTGAGATACTTGACGTAGAGCGGGTAGAGGAGACCGGGAAGGCAGCCATAGATGATACCGACGGCCGCGTACTGGCCGAGGAGCCCGATGGCTTCGCGGCTCATGAGGTCGAGTGCACCACCTTCTCGCAGCGCGTCACCGTCAATGAACGGGTCGTCGTCGTCATACAAGGCATCGTCGGTGATGAGCTTGGACGCGTGGAGGTACGACTGCGTATCGAGCGCCGTGAGGTGGCTAGGTTCCTTGGGGTACAAATCGGCCTCGTCAAAGAGCCAAATTTTGACCGGCGCCACCATCCTTCGACCGCAGCTACTTGCGTCGTCGATGGCAAAATGCTTTTACAGAGCGCCAGTGGAATAACGATACTTACCTATGTTCGCGGTATCGCAGCCGTACATTCGATCGTGACACGTGGTGGTGCCACGTGGTGTCGCTGCTCTCCCAGCCAAGTGAGTGGCTTGGCCGTTATCAACGCTCTACCGTATTCTGACGTGGCGGTGGCAGCGTTCGACGAAGAAGCACGACAGTCCCAGAGCCACAAACTGACTTGGTGGGTTACATGATCGGTCTATGGTAGAAGGAACTAACTCGCTCGTCTCAATTGATGACGACGCGCAGCCATGACGAGGAGCGTCGACAACGTGGTCGCCGCAAGAGGCAAGGACACGAATGAAATGGAATGATATGTAATGGCCATGTTGCCCTTCTCTCTCACAAGTAGCCAAGTTGCTGCAAGTGCGTTGATCTCGTCCTCGGAGGCGCGCAGCCGGAGATAGAGAGGCAGTGCAAAGTGGTGGTGCAAAGTGGCAGTGCAATTTGGCGTGCGACAACACGCTACGGGCACAGATTTGCCATGCGGTCATTTGAACGTTCGCTCGCATTTTGCGAGTTTGCGAGTTTGCTATCACGCTCAATTGAGCGATTTGACAGCAGCTTCTGGAGGCAATTAAGAATGAGAAGCTTGCTTGTCAAGCCCGAGCCCCTCGCGGCGTCTTTCGTCGGCACAACTAAATGGCCGCTTGTGTGACTCAAAGCGTGACTGTAACGTACGACCGAGGTCGCTGCACGCAGTTGTATTTCGACAAGCGTCTGCAGAGGCGCGCGGGATGACGTGCGTTACTTTCTACTCGCAGACTTGTTTCTGGCCCGTACTAGACCAGACGGTCTGGAAAGACACTCAGGCTACCACACTGCCAGCACATGTTGCTAAACTCCGAGCCGTTCGGTTGATATCATATATATATGGGTTGATATGATTAAAAGTTCCGAAGATATACGATATCCACACGCATCAACCGTCGACGTTGTTGTTACTCGCATCTCTTGCGCATCAACCGCAGTCACGGGATCGTCTTGGCGTCGTAGCTTTTACCTCGAGACCATGCTTGGTACACTCAAAGACAACAGGCATCCCGAGTCGCATTGTCTTCCTAGCACACTGCGTCGGCCGTCCCGAAGAAACCATTCGCCAACTAGAACAACGATGAAACACGTCTGATGTAGTCGGATACGGCGTCGATGTCATATTGGGTTGACCCCATCATTTTTTAGTGGTCGAAGGCGATTCGAAAGGTGCTTACGCAAGCGGAGCATCGTCGTCGTATTCGTCGTCGTCATCATCGATCGCAATGATCTCGTGTTGCGTTCCACTCGACGCAGCAAGAGACGCCAGCGGAATCGTCCGCGGCTGGAACGCCTCGGCCATTGACGACGCCCGCGTCGACGCGCGGGCCGACTGTCGCGTCGGTGCCTTCTTGGGCGACGTCGGGCGCACGCGGCGGCGAGTATCAAGAGCCCCAAACACGTTCTTCGGGCGCGTCTTGTCGCGCACGCGCCAGCTTTCGTACGCGTGCGTCGCCATCTCGATCACGTCATCGGGCGAAATGGCATGGAGCTGCGCGAGGTGCTGGAACGCGAGCACCGAGTCCATTACGAGCTGGGATCGCTACATAGGATCGTTCCGTTCGTCGGGGCTCCGTCCTATCAGATGTAAAATAGGCCCGTCTACCTCGGCTTCCATGGACGCTGGCGAGAGGCCACGAATGTGGAGCTCTGCGTGGAGATGGGACCGTGACGCAGTGCTGCAAGAACG